TACTGAGCGGATTGCTCACGACTGTAGTTGAAATCAAGCATGTCAGGTCTGGGTCATCAGAGTTACGTTAGTTTTAATCCACGAAACTTCATACTAAGTCTTGCTCATGTACTGAAATTCGACGTAGACTTTGGAATATCAATACAAACTGGATGGTTTTCTTGGGTGCAATTTAGGGTAGAAAAGACCATAGCCTGTGAGCAGTCTAAGGGACAAGGTCATTAAGACTGGCTAATAGTCTGGATCCGCACGCAATGCAATCGATGCGGGATGATATGGGTAAAGGTAAAAGGCCAACGGTGGCTCAAGAAAACATGACTATCTGGAAGCAAAAACAAACACGAAAAGACTTCTTGGACGAAATAACCTCATTGGGCTTAAGGGGAGACTCAAATAAATCCGGACTGGATCTCTGATTCATGATATACGAAGAAAAGACTCCTACTTTATCAAGACTGGAAAGCATTCTGAGCCAACGTGAAATCCACCTTGGACGATCAAATCCTAGTCTGTGTTATATCAATGACAATCACAAATGAATGGGGTAGAAATAGCCACAGATTTTTTTATAGATATCTGGATCCTTCAAGGGTTCTTGAGTGCAAGGGAGAGTGCGAACCAGGACAACGCGGTGTCCGTAGGTATATTATCCGTGTACTGACAGCACGCCGCAGAGGATGATAGCAGGATATTCATAACTTGACAAGAAAATAAAATGTCAGCTAATATCCAGCAAGCTTACATAAAAGGAATTTTATTAAATGCGTGGACTGTCTGCCATTACAAAGACACTACTGGAGGATTATGACTGGGCAATAATCAAGCCTTGCCAAAATAGAGCATGAAAGAGCAGGCTACCAAAAGGGTTGAGGGAGCGCTTGACGAATGACATTGGAACAGAACACGGCCCTGCAATCGATTGTGAGGTCTTGCTACGGGAGTTCGTTTTTCGGTTTTACCAGCGAGAAACTGTTTGAAATCATGCCCCTCACTTGCTAGCCAACGCGACATGATGCAGTCGAACTGCCCCAAATATTTACCATTAACAAACATTCAATAAATTCGACATAGCTTTAATATAAAGTCTTATTTTGAACGACGCACTTTTTCGCTTATTTGAGACCTCACTTATGGATTACTCATTGCCCGCTACCTTCACTTAACGCCCTAGTTTCTTCGCTATTTTGTAGAACTCACGCCGTCATATGCTAAACGAGTTTATCATGAAGTCTTCTGAAGCCTGTTCAACAAAGCTCGTCAAAAACCCAAAGATGCTGTTTTCTATAAAACGGCTATTTTTGTCATCAAGGTTTGTGCTCTGATGTCTTCAAAGAAACAACAATTTACTGTCCACTGGGACGCTATCTCAAAGCTGCCTGAGAAAAATTGCTCAAACTCAAAAAATTAAACTAGCATGCAGGTCGAAGTGTCCTTCCAACTACATAATTTCTATGATCTGACTTTTCAAATTTCTGATGATCAGACCCTGGAGTTGCATTGGTCCAACCGTGATTGCTGGTGACTGATGATAACGGTCACTAACAATTGGCTGTTCGACTTCTTTCCATCTTTGAGCCAGATGAGCAGGCTGTCGTCTCGGAAGCATCACCCTTTGAAAGCGAACTTTTTGATACATTACGAATACTTTCAAAATCACTCACCCCTGCATGCTATCTGTTAACGAACTGCATTGTAAGTTTTCTGAAAAAACAAAAGTGAGCCCTGGATTTTTGAAAAAAAATGTCGACCGGGGTTTTTGATGATTCGTGAAAAACGATACTGCACCTGATTCTTGAACAACTAAGCAGAATAAGAAACTGCGATTTCCACCATACCATGCCTGCATCTACCTATGAGTCCCACTCCCCTAATTCACTTTTGGGGAACATATTAGGGTTTCGCGTGGGTTCTTGAAATCTGGTCCAATTATGTCTTGATACGCGATGGATTGAATGTAAACAGCCTTTCGCAAGGAATGCAATATACGACAATATATAAGAAGCAGACGAAATCGATCGCACACTGATATTATGGGGGCAGTTTACAACCTGTCTGTCCACAACAAAATATACGTCCTATATTGACCAGTCATTCAGGCACAGTTAATTACCTCAGCCTTTTTTAAAACTGTTTGAACTGCCTTTATAGCCACAGTAACTTATCAACGAAACGCGCACTGTCGAAAACTGGGTCATGCTTATCATCCTGTGGTTGTGAGCCAACTTTTTCTTAGTGATTGTTTTTTCTGCCTTCACAATACACGACCACCGGTTTCAACTTACCACCTTATTCTACGATAGCCGGATTCCACAATCCACAGGGCAAACAAACATTTCTTATTTTTTTAGCCGTCCAAATTTATTCCATTGGGATCGGAAACTGTAACGAAACTAGCTGTGCTTTGCGCCCCATTTGGTTGCCACAAACTGGAACTGGAACCGGAGGCTGTGGCTTGAAAACGTGATTAATGGCCGGGGTTCAAGTAAGTTGGAACCGTGTTCGTGCCAGTCCAGTCCCGAAGGGAAACTTCTTTCTGATTCATCGAACCACATATAAATCAACCGACCGGATTTTACCATGATTCTGCTTGCATACGGGTAGCGCCCACTTAGTACATGTCGTCTTTTAGTTCAGAGCCATTTGTGACGAGAAAGCCCGTCCGCTTTCGCTCTATCTCACATTCGTACATTCTCCCCACACTTTTGACTGGTGATCGTCAACCCCAGGGGTGAACATGTTTCACGCCGGACATTGTGGCGCATGACCAGTGAAATATTGACCACAGTTCCTGTCTTTGATGGGAACCAACGGCATACAAACATGCAAGCTGGCGAAGCTGGACAACAAAAGTCGTCCATCTCACACAGACCTCTCATCAGCTGATGTTTGCCAACACTCCACAGTCCTCCACGTCCTCGATATATGTGTGTGTGATAAATCAAGCTGCGGCAGACCCACCTGCAATCCATGTAGACTGTTACATAACTCACTCATGCGCACGCCCTCTGTGTGTGCGCTTACCGACGACCATGGTGATCTAGCCCTGCAAGCGTTGATTTGTCCGTCATTGTCCACTACGCGCAGGCGCGCAAGCACACGGAGGCGCGGACGCAAAAGCACATGATCCAGAAAATAAATGAGCTTTCTCATCCTCCTAACACTTAGCCGACTGGTGCGAACAGCACACTGATGAAAACGTGAACGGCTGATACATGTCCATTATGGATGGCGAAAGAAGAAAGCAGCACACCATGTTACCTGCCTACTGTGGGTTCTCGTGATCTTCAAATTAATAGGAACCCACCAGTAAACCAAAGTTTCCATCACATGCACGCTCTAACCATTTCTGAGCTGAAACAGCCGTTTCGCGGGGATCACAAGTCCAAATCGTTTCAAAGCCTTGGTGAGAAACTAATCAACCGAGAAAGCACCAAAAGTTTGGCTAGTCATCAAGCAAGTAATCAGGTAGTAGAGATGAATTTATGGCAAAAAAGTGCACCTTATTGTGAATCAGCTCATGTGTTAACCAGAATACTTACTTAGTTATCCTAGGGAGGGTGATGGACCAAAAGCTGCTGATTGAGTAACCAAAACCTGGTTAAAAGCATACGGTTGACGTAACAAGTAGCTCCGGAAAATCGAGAATTTCCTAGTTCCCTTCTTTCATATTCAACAGTTCCTACTAACAAAGGTTGATTTCAGTTCGCCAGTTTCTCCAACTTGAAGAACGCTCTGGATACACACTCTACGTAAACCCAGCAACGTAGTGCAATGGGTGAACCTGGAGTACGACTCATCGTCCATAAAATCAGTCTAAAATGACTGCAATTTCACTTCACTCTGATGAAGAACAGCGTGTTTTCAAACTAAACATTATTTTTCAATTTTAAATGTTCAGTGGGAATGCCACAACTTCACTTTCAAAGGGACATATCTGACAGAATCCTGGATCGCGAACGCCCCGCGAACTAAGAATCAAGCCAAATCTTCTGTCCTTATCAAGAGGACTGAAGCCAGTTTTACTAAGAACTGCTGTGTTACCAATGCAGCATTTCTCGTCTTCCCGAGAACATCTTTTGTATGGTCAACTTTAAATTCCGAGTTTCATTTACAGTCCTCGTGAAATAAGCGCATGGACGTAGTTCACTCATTCTTCATGCAACGACACGGTACGAGTTACCTAAGTAATTTGGGTTATGTTCAGTGAACTCATCGCACTGATTATAAGGCTGAAGTCATGTTTACCTTCAACGAATACCCACTGCATTATGGACAGGCTATTCCTTCCTCGTTGTCTGCTCCACTCAACTACCCAATTTTTTCGGCTGCAATTCGTACAGCACATGTTCAAGTTTCTTTTGTGTTATGATCCCCCAGCGGGAAGCTTATTTGCCATGGGATATATTTCGCCTAGTTTACCACCCCTGTTTGGCGCTACGCGCAAAACAGCCATTTTCCTCACCAACCATAACCCCTGTCGGTTTGACTAGCTGATCAAATTAGGTTCACAGAGGAAACTACTCACAAGGTTGCTGAAAACTCTTCGACAGCCCACAACCGGTTTCGTCCTTCTCGGGGCTCATCAGATAGGCGCAGTCCCCGGGTTTCTGTCAACCTTATGTTCTACTTGAACCCAGCTGAATCTCTTGTTTACGATGTTTCTAAGATTTTTCAGCAACCTTATGAGTAGTGTACTACGTTTATCCAATATACCGCGATATCCTTAATACCTTACCAAGTGAAACATGAGACGGTCTAGTGAGGCCTATTAAGCAGCTAAAGGATTTCCTAGTTGAGATACTCAGCTAAATTCCAGGTGGATGTCCTGCCAAGACCAAACTGGTATTCGGATGAGTGCATAAGTCGAGATTGGTTCAAGTTTAAGTTGAACATAAGGTTTGCAGAGACTCGGGGACTGCGCTTACCTGATGAGCCCCAAGAAGGGCGAAATCGGTCGTGGGCTGTTGAAGAGTTTCCAGCAACATTATGAGTAGCTTCCCTTATGAAAATATATTACAGTATCTCGAATATCTTACCAGTTGAAACATGAGACGGCCTGTGTGCAGTGCATTCAGTTGTAGAACATCATAAACGAGAGATTCGGTTGAGTCTCTCGTGAAAACCAAACTGATTTGCAAATGAGTGTATTTCTCGAGGTTCAAAGAGCTTTTTCATAATTGAAGCCAAACTCTTTCATTTTCCGTTGATCTCGTCAACTATGGAAGTACTCGAACTTCCCAATCACGCAAGACGAGAATACCCATGAATCGAATTTTGAAGTGTCTTCGCTATTCAGCCCGACTTAGCCCTTAGAGTCCTCTAAGATGATCCTGGTTGGCTGTTTCAATAAGCCACAGCATTTTGGTGCTGCAAATTTCCGTACTAAAAATGCCCATATAATCGTTCAACCGAAACATGTATGAATAAAGTAGACTTCATTTTTTCGAAATTTTCATAGCACCTGCATATCACAAACTCCAAAAACAATTCAAAAACATAGACAAAAAAACATTTTATGATATATTTTATCCACATGTGTTGGGTTGTTTAAATAGTTTGGTCACGTGGTCACAAGTTGAACATCTGCACGTCTCATGGAATTGATAAGCAAAAAAGCACTTTAAGTCCTGGGATGATAATTCTGAAGCGGATGGAAGCTAAGTCTTATCCTGATAGCTCCATTAGGTGAAATCGCAGTACGCATTTAGAACAATCGGCACTCCTTAGTCGAAAAATGCAATAAATGTCCACCGGTGGGATTCCAGGCATCCGTTAACAAGCGGGCTGGAATAAGGACAACATCAGTTGCGCAGCACAAAGCACTCTGTCGGATGCATCGTCCTAGCAATGAGCACTTTCAAAAACCCTCTTCCTTTGGAAACGCACGCCTGTAAGCGAGTAGAGGGAGTGTTTATCTGAAACCGGCGGTGTCCCTCAATTCATCGGTATGGAACTTCTCCAATGAAACAAAAGACTTTTCTTTCCTTCAGTAAGTAAATATTTTCGTCCAGTCAACCAGTTTTCTTTGATATGCGACCTGGAGGGTCTCAGACTGTTGACTCTCATTGTGATGGAACTGGAAAGAAGAATCTAGTGAGTTAGAAGGCATATTCATTCATTTGCTTCTAGAAAAATAACCTGTCGTTAAATTGTTTCAATAGTTTGGGTTATTCTGTGTCTAGCTAATCCTCATCCATCCACGCAGTCGATTCCAGTCGATCCAAGCAAGCATTTCCCTCAATGGGTGTCATCCCAGGACATTAAAGCCCTTTCGTCGGACCAGATCAAAGTTGCACATGAATGACTCACCTATCACAAACACGGCCGACACTCAAGAAGGCTGGTAACATGAATAGTGTGGGAATAGGAAAATGGTGTTGAAGCGGGGTGAAAAATTTTCTCCCAAGCTTTGGTCTTAATTTTCGTAAGTGTTCCGCAAGTTTCCAAGGTCTTGTGGCGATACAATACCACACAGAGCATAAAACGCCAAAAAATAATTTGGTAGGTAGCAGGAGTATTTGCAGCATAAGTGTCTGAACATTGCTCTGAAAATTTCCCATACGCTAAGCGGATTCAAGCCCTTGACCTTTTCCATTCGGCCATGAGTGCGATTAATACCACTTATTACACAGCCATGTAGCTTACGTCATGTGGTCTGGTGCTGAACCCATTCGAACAGCTATTAATCGTAGCATTCAACTTCCTCTACTGAGGATAATGGTTCAAGTCCTCCAGAGGCCTTATATGATGTCCACTGCTGACAATTCCAGAAGCGGACAAATCAGTGTTCCTCGGCTTTCCTTACGATATAACCTCCATCTACAGGATGAAACCTGTACTAGAAGGTGCAAAACAAAGTGGTTGTTAGATTTGGTCCACCGTGGCGTTAATTGCGACGCACGAGCTCTACAAATTACTCTAGATAGTGTAAGGGACCAAAAATCTCTAAAAGACCAGTTTCCAAAGAAAAGCCTGGGTGAACAAATGGATAAAACCGTGGATTGCCATTTCGAATAGCTGAGTTCGATCCCTTCGACGAATGGCGTCAAATTGGTTGCTTTCCTCCGTTCTCACGATTCGTAGATATATCGTTTCGGAAACAAAGTCAGAAAACAAAAATAGATGTTTTCTTCATTTCGCCACTACCAGAAAATTGCTGTGATTATTCAGTTAAATAACGCAATCACATTTTGTGAGATGAAGGCACGTAATAAACCGTGAGTCATGGCAACTTGACAGACTGTAAGATTCCTCAGCGTTTTTCTCTGGACAAGACACAAAGAAGTCATATGTCCTACTTTTATTCCGGCCACCTGTCAATCCTGTTTGTATGCTGTGTTCTTTTTAGGCCGCAGACAGTTTCCTGTTGAATTCGTCAGAAACAATTATGACAAAATTAAGTGAAAAAAACGACACTAGCTTTCGTGAACTATGGACAGGCTTTTGGAATTTCACTCACAAACAGACCCCATGGTTGCGCACTATAACAGTGAAGCACTTTTACTCATTGGTATTTCATTGCTAGCATTTATTTACTTGCCGGAAGCGGTCGGTCCGATCGCTCATTACTGTGAGAGCGAAATAAAACTCGTGATCAGTGTATCCTGGGTGGCTACAAATTGCGCTTCTAGTTTTCTTTCAATTAAGGGTTACAAGCTGATAGACGAATGGGTAGACTAATTTTGAAGTAAACGACGCCACCGGTTATCGAATAAGTATTTTATTGCTCAAAAGGAATTTCACAGAATTAATAGCCACAAAAGTTTTGGAAAGTGATATAAAAATGCCCATCTTGCAAAGAAGCTGTTATTTAGGGCAATCTCCTCGCAGTTTTTATCACTCCAAAGCCGTTTTCACCCCTACCAACAAAGTATGATTGCCACCGGATAGTTTGAAGCTATAAAGGCAGGTATTATATACGGCAATCACGCCTGCATGAGCAAACCGATAAGCGGCATTTGCCTCAGAACTTGGTGTGTTCTTAACCAGAAAGCCATAATATCGAGCTTCCTCTTTGGGCACTTCGGGCAATATTCAGCCGGAACAATTCATATAAATTAAAGAAAGAGCTCTAAGCAGACACGTAATTAGCGAAAAATACACTCATTTACAAGTCAATTTGGTTTTCATGGGAGACTCAAGTGAATCTCTCACTGATGATGTCCTTCAACTGAATGTGCTGCACGCAGGCCGCCTCATATTTCAGTTTGTACGATATTTGAGATATCGCAGTATATTTTCATAAAAGAAACTTATGGTTGCTGGAAACCCTTCAACAACCCACGACCGATTTCGCCCTTCTTGAGGCTCATCAAGTAGGCACAGTCCTCGAGTTTCCGTCAACCTTTTATTCTACCTGAAACTAAATTGCACGAAGTTAACGAAATACACTCATCGACGAGAGGTTCGCTTGAATCTCCCGTGAAAACCAAATTGATTTGCAAATGAGTGTAAATGTTCGAAATCAGTCCAACTTGGGTTCAAGTAGAGCATAAGAATGATGGAATCTCGTGGACTAAGCCTACCTGATGAGCCACAAGAAGGGCGACACCGGTCGTGGGCTGTCGAAGAGTAGTGAGGCAGAAGGGTAGTGAGACAGAAATAACCTAATGTAGATACCATCTACGAAAGGCCTAGAATGATATGATGATCTAGTCGCTTTAAGCACCTTGGGGCAAGTTTGGTCAGAATCTTATCCATTTTTTCCACAACTGCTTGGATCGTTCCAGTCCTGTGAAGAAAAATCACTCTGCATCAACAGAATGTGGAGGAACTTGTTTGCCCTTTGCGCTCTGAACAGTTGTAATACTCGTGGCATCAACTTCCCACTTCTGGTTATGCCGTACAGGAAGCCACTCCCTCATAGAAGAAGTTAACCCTTTGTCCGCGCGTTGGTGTGCATTGTCCACTAGCAACAACTCCTCCGAAGAGGCAACAAAACATTTTGCCCCCTTCCACTTATAATCATTTTGTGGGATCACCTTTATGCGTCCAGACAAAATCTGAGGGAGTGTTTCCCATTTTTTTCAAGGCACTTAGTTAAAACCCATGGCTTGGATAACCGAATTTAAGTAAGCTTGTCCATGGTTTTAGAAGTGATGAACTGCTCACAATGTTGCCGAAAATCCTCCGACAGCCCGCGACCGGTTTCGCTCTTCCTGGGGCTTCTCAGGTAGGCGCAGTCCCCAAGTCTCTGCAAACATTGTGTTCAACTTGAACTTGCACGAATTTCGACTTATGCACTCATCCGAATACCAGTTTGGTCTTGGCAGGACACTCACCTGGAAGTTAGCTGGGTCGTTCGTTTATGACTTCTTCCAGCAGCTTAATAGACTTCATGTTTCACTTGGTAAGATATTCGAGATATCGCGGTATATTTGATAGACGTAATACACTACTCATAAGATTGCTGAAAAGTCCTAGGGACATCGTAAACAAGAGATTCAGCTGCGTTCCAGGTGAGTCACCCGTCAAAACCAAATCGGCATACAGATGAGTGTATCAGGCCAAATCGGTCATGATCTGTTGTTGTCATCTGATTGCACTGCAGTCCAGCAACCATTACAGAAATCCCATTAAAGTAGACAGGAGTCTTCGGCCTCTCCTGTGAAGTGAAACCTGATTGGGGGCTGTTCACACCAGACAGTGACTCACTCCTTCAAGCACTCGACGCAAACTCTTTATGGACGGATTGTGCTGTCTGTTAGAGCTCAACACATCCAGCACACTTGATGAAACTGAATGGAATAATGAAACCATCTGGGTCTTCCTTTAGATTTTTCAGTACTAAAGAGAAATCCTAATTCCACCTGGGGTCTCATCCTCTAGGCGAAACAAGCCCATACCGCCTAAGTTAACACTCTAAACTTTCCAATCTATCCAAGTGCTACGTACTTTCGGCTCAGGAAATGACAAATCCCACCACTCATATTGCCCATCTAAAGTCGTTTCCCAAACAGCCGGTCATCGCTAGGTTACAAAAAGTGACTTGTGTGACTGAATTATGATGGCACAATATCCTGTCTGCGTACAAATTAATCACACTACTCATTATCATTCCGTGCTAGAATGGTATATTGCTCAGCTAACAAACGGATGAATGCGAGTCCGAATTGCCCTATAGCTATCTCCCGATAAGGACGAAATGACCGTGCAACGCTCCTCGTCTTTAGGGAACAGGCTGATTTTGCTTTCAGGTTGTAATCTCGTGTCAAACTTCTGACAGTGTAATATATCATCATAGTTCCTAACAGCATGACATCAGCGTTCAACACTGATGCTTCACTCTCGTACCTCATGTTATATCAACAACCACAAGGATGCTGATAAGTTGAGCAAAGCCACCTCACGCTTGATAAGGCACAATCGTTTTGAAGGTATTTTGCTTTTTAGAATGGTTCAATGCAATGGCCCATTTTTCCGAAACACCGAAAGCTAATAAGCTTGCCTTCAAACTATCGTTCATAACCTACTAAATGCTTGCTTGCTAATGACTGTGATCTGTTGTTCTGTCACTACTAGCTCCTGCCCTGCAGGCTACAAATCTCGAGCCTCTAATTTAAACCCCATGATTGACATGATGTCTTGGCCATAGGCAATAGCAAAATTAAATTAATTGCAGCCTTGAATCAGAGCAATCGAGACGTTATGCCCCACCGATTTTAACAAGATCAGATGATTGAACCTGGATTAGAATGAAAGCCCACATTCCCGAGTAAACCACTTTCAATAGGATGCAGTGGAAGGGTCAGTAGTGGAAACGAATTTCAATTCACCGGAACACACATGAGGTACATTTATCCTGTGGTTCTGACCGGAATTTCACGCCCCATACACCAACATCGCGCACCGCCGACTTCACTGGCGAGCCTGAGTTACAAGAATCTAGTGGTTCGTCCGGTTTAACTCACACGAGCAATTTGTTAGGAATCTGACCACTGGTAAGTAGTTTCTCTATCACTTTTCCTCACGATAACAGCTGTCATATAAGACGCTGTACTAGGACAGTTGTGGATGAAAGCCATATCGGTTTCATACCGTTCTGCTTCACTTTCCCGATTTAATAGTCCTGGCTTGGGAATAATTTCATCGGTGTTGATTTGTACCCCGTACATTAAACTATTTTGCTGTTTCCCCATTGTTGCAAGCTTTACAGTTACTCTAACTTCACATTCTTTTTCAGTGTAACCACGTACACATACGGAGACATAATGGATGCCACACGCGTTCGCCACTCTGGTAAATACGATTCAGCAAACCAGCCATTGGTCAGATACAGACACGCTGTAGGGGAAACCAATGAATTCCCCCTACAAGACACAAAGTTCGTTTCCTTCGTTCAACTCACTTC